GCCCAGTGGGTTTTAACCACACCCTCTCCAACAGTGTCTGATTCCCAGCCTTAGGGAGGTGACCCCTTGGAGTTTGTTCCTTCCTCGAGTACCCTCACTCAGCGCTAATATTCATCAGAGTTCTTTTTCCCATTCTCCATGCCTCCAATCTCCTGTTAATAACTCTTTATTAAACTTTCTCTGTTCAAACCACTGGGTGTTTTCTGTCTCCTGATTCGACCCTAACCAGTACAGATGCCCCCTGCCTCGAATGTTTTTAGTGCCCTCCCTCTAGGAGCCAAGGGGACAGATAAATGAAAATTCATGGAATTGATAAAAATATTTACTCCAAGTAATGTGCATGATAGGTAAAGTAACAAAGCGTGGTTTTGTTTTGCTCTGTTTCTTTTGTGCATATTCTTTCCCTTTCCACAAAGCCCTTAATTTGGGTAAGGTCTTAATTCATCTTATCTCCGAATTCCTAAGAGCAGGAACTGCCTTTTATCTTACTGACTTTGTACCCGCGATGATAATTGCTAGTTGACTGAATAAAGGCTGATCATACTGAGTTGATATCTCTCTGTTTTGTAAATAAGAGTTCATTAACAATTACACGCAATTGTTTTTGTCCTTGAAGTGTGAACAGAGAGGTGATCAACCAGCTTAGTGCTGATTCTTGCTCATTCCTCTCGGCCACTTGCAGATGACATATCTGCCGTGTCGGGTGTGCATCACGCAGCATGCTGGGTATTTTACAGACCACTGATTCTCAGCCCTCCCTGTCATACATAGACATGGAAATTGAGATTAGCTAACTTAGCCCTGGCAGTGCTCCTAAGAGGTGGCTGAGTTCTGCTTCAGTCCAGGTTGATACCACAGCCCTAATATTTTCTGCTCTGCTGCCCGGATCTTACCGTGAGTGGTCCTCTGGCCAGTGCAGGGCCTGCCTTTGTGTGCACTCACATACTCGTCACCCAGGAGCCTCTTTTCCTCTTCAGAGCCTCCACCAACTCCCTTGTCCTGGAGACCAGCCCTCTGGTACACAGCCATCCAGGTACAAGTGGGCAGGGTTTGGAAAACTCAGAAAGGGCCAAAAATCTCCTCCCCTTTGCTGCTTTAAGGATTCAAAGTCTGTCGTCAGAGTCTAGTCACTTGTGGGAAAATTGGTACAGGTTATGGGAAAAGTTCAGTTAAAATTAAAGCTCAGGGGAATGTGTGTGCATCTTTAAACATGAACCCTCGTCCTCTCTTCTTCTCAGGTGCTGTTACCTCCGTACGATGACGCCACTGTGAACGGCGCTGCCAAGGAGCCGCCGCCACCTTATGTGTCCGCCTGAGCGCGAGAGTGACAGCCACAGCTTGGAGACTCTGCATCGGAGCAATAGTCCTTTCACGTTCCTTCTGAGATGAGCTCGCCGAGCTTCTTTGTGGCTGAAATGCTACAGTTAAAAATTTTAGATGTTAAGTTGAAACATACGCTTTAGCTGGAGCACTGTGATAGTCCCTGTAGCATTCCTTCTGTGGGTGGGGGTGGGGCTCCCCAGTCTTCCCCCGGCTCTGACACTCCCCAGCAATCTCCATGAACCTTGAGTCCTGGGAGCCTGTTTGCTGTACATGCTGAGCCCTAGAGTTGAAGAATTTGTGACACTTTTCTCTCCGTTCCCTCTTTCTCTTTTGAAAGTATAAAAATCAGAATTAGTGCTTTTCTTAGGCCATTCCAGTACTTAGAACAAACCCTTAGGAGAACAGAAATGTTGATTTGCAAGGAGTCCATATATATATATATATATATATATATATATATATATATGCATACATAAAACAAGAATTTCCTTAGCTCCTTTGTGAATTTGCTGGTCAAGGATTTTTGTCCATGGGGTAAATTGAGGCCCTTTGACAGTCCCCGGCTGTGCGACCAGTCAGTCACCACACCGGTGCCTGGGGTCGGGGGGTGGCGTGTTGGAGGGGACCTGATGTGTTTGGTACTGCGTGGTGTCAGGTCCTCTCTTCCGCTGGGTTTCCCATCCCCGCTCAGATCACTAAATATTCTGCCTGCCCCAGCCTGATTCCGGGAGGGCATCCATCGTCCTCTGTCAAGTGGAATTGCTGATAGGGATTTACCAAAAGATAAGAAGAAAGGTTTTCTTCTCTCCCTTCAGGCCACCTCCTACTACTCTGAACTTTGAGTATGCCTCGTCATCTTTTAAAATGAGTGTAAAACAGTCTTTCAAAAAATGAGAGTGGGGAGAATGCTTTCCCTGTAAAATGCCCTTATCTTGACAGCCCGAGTTTC